TTTAATTTTACCTTAGATATACATAGTGATAACATTTCATAATAAAGAATTTGTACCTGTACATGGTATTTCTTCCTCTTTCTCTTTTTTCAATTCCCCTCCCTTCCCTTCAGCCCCTTTCCCCATCTTTACTTAGAAAAATTTTATTTCCACATACTCCCTTTTTAGGAGGGGACCTTTCTTTCCTTCTTCCACCCCTTTCCTTGTTCCCCTTCCTATTTGAACATTTTCTTCCCATTTCCCAATATCTGTTATACATGTGTGTGCCTGCGCACAGATGTGTATTTTAGGGAAGGGTCTACAGGGTGTTCAAGGTCTCACTACTAGATTGGACTCGTAGTGCCTGTTTACAGCCTCCCAAGAACTGGGATCACAGGCATGCGTCACCACGCCCAGTCTCAATTGCCATCTCAGAGTGCCCCAGGGGCAGGGCCACGCATTAGGCCTGGGGATTGAACCCTTGGCCCCCTGTGCCTGCTTGCAGGTGCTTTAATCCTCTGAGCTATTTGGCTGGCCCTTCTGTTATACATTTTGGTTGGTCCTTATTTATACTTTTTGTTTCTCACACTAGAGAAACAATATGATATTTATATATGTGTGTCCGATTTGTTTTACTTAAGAGTATGATCTCAAGGTCTGTCCATTTACCTAGAAATAGCTCAAGTTTAGCTTTCTTTATGGCTCAGTAGTACTTCATAGTGTAAAAAACCCCACGTCTTCCTTATCCATTCATCAATTAATGGGCATCTGGGCTGTTTGCAAGATTTAACTGTTACAAGTTGTGACTCTGTGAAGGTGAGTGTGCTTGTATCACTATGGTGTGTGTGATACTTTTAATTCTTTTGGGAAGATATCTAGAAGGGGAGCAGCTGGGTTAAATGGAAGCTTTAGTTTTAGTTTTCTGAGAAATCTCCGCCCTGAATTCCACAGAGGTTGTATCATTCCACACTCCCATCAACAGTGGAGAAGGGTCCCTTTTTCCCCACAGCCCTGTCAGCATTTACTATTGGTTGATTTCTTGATAACAGCAATTCTTTCTGCAGTGAGATGGAATTTTAGCATTGTTTTAATTTTCATCTCTTGTCCAGGGAGATAGTGCAGTGGAATAAGTGCTTGCCTGGCAAGTGCAGTGGAATAAGTGCTTGCCTGGCAAGTGCAAGGTCCTGAGTTCAATCCCTGGTACCACTCCCCCCAAAAAATAATATTCATCTCTCAAATAACCAGTGATATTGAACATTTTTTCATATATTTTAAATCTTGCTAATTTGAAAGGTCTGAAAAATTAATCTCGTGGAGGAGAATTGAGAGACTGTAGGAGAGCAGTCAGGTCAAGTTTAACGGCTAGGGTGGAAAAATATAAAGGTGATGAAGTCACGTCAGTAACTGTTACACGCGTGATGCTCAGTGAGTTCCTGCCTCAGAGCTGGTAGCTTTCTTCGTCTTTGTGCAGGGATTATATTAACATGTACTTCATTGAGTTGCTTTGAAGAGTTTTATGAGAACAAAAGACATATATTGAAAGGGTTGAGGACACTGTGTAAGTACTCAGTCAGTAACTGTTAACCATTGAGGTACATCCTCAGCCCATTTATTTTTTATTTTGAGACGGGTCTCACAGAATTGTTAGGCTTGAGCTTATCTTCCTTCCTCAGCCTCCTGATTAGCTGGGATTGCAAGTGTGCAGCATGCTGGCTAGGGAACCCTGCAGTGCTCCTGTTGGGCAGTATGGTATTTCAGTTAGAGATGGCCATGTGTGAGATAAGGGAGTATAGTTAATTAATACAACTATTAGTTGGCTCTATTTTCTTAATACACATTTATATTTACCATGGAGAGTTAACACACGCATGTAACATGTCTTAATTCTTTTAATGTCCTCGCCTCGCCTCTCTTGTTGGATTTGTACGTATCAGTTGTTTTGTTGTTGTTGTTGTTGTTTTTTGTTTTTTTTTTTTTGAAGGTTTTACAATTTATTAAATCTTCTTGTGAAAAAAGTCGCAGTCACTGCAGATAGGCACTGCAGAATTGCTACTCCTTCGACTTTTTGCCAGCACCGATGTTAGCCTTTGCGCTGCCCCTGACTTTCTTCACTCTGTTCTTGTGTTCCTTCTGCTGCTTTCTTGAGGTCTTTTTCTTCTCATACAGGCCGTGTCTTGCAAGTCTATGTTTGGACTCATTTTTCTTCACATAATCCAGAGAATCACAAATCATGCCAAAGCCAGTCGTCTTGCCACCACCAAATGGGTTCTGAATCCAAACACAAAATGACATCTGGGGTGACCTTGTACATTTTGGCAAGTTTTTCCCAAATTTCTGTCTTAGGTACTGTTGCTTTCCCAGGGTGAAGGACATCAGTGACCATTTGTTTCCTTTGAAGAAGTTGGCTAGTATGAACTTCCGGGTTTGGGTAGTTACTGTGTCGTTCATAATGGCAAACAGACCCTCAGGCAGCCCAGGAGGAAAAGAGCTATGTATGTTTGAGCCTCATAGCAGAATCTTTTTTTTTTTTTTTTTTTTTTCAGGGATCGAACTCAGGCCCTTCCACTTGCCAGGCAAGCGCTTATTCTACTGAGCTATCTCCCCAGCCCCACATAGCAGAATTTAAATTAGAGAGATTACCTGTGTGTTGCTTGTCTCCATCCTGCCTGTCCTCAGTATCCCCCAGGAGTGGCACAGAGGTTGCAAGTGATGAGCCCACCCTGACGTGTCCTCACAGCCTTATCACCCCTCTGTGCTGCAGCACCTGCCTCCTGTGCAAGCCCTGGGGTGAAACCTGGTCCTGCAAAACAAGAAAGAAACCCTAAGGATTTCATTTTGTTTCTTGTTTTGCAGGGCTGGGTTTCACCCCAGGGCTTGCACAGGAGGCAGGTGCTGCAGCACAGCTCTGTGCACTGTGTGCTCTTGGATAGATGCCTTTGTGCGTACTTATGATGCAGAGTTCTAGTATATGTGGAAAAAATATGGATGTAGACATTTATTCATGTAGTATAATATTTGCATTTGTCTATGGTATGCTCATACAGCACACCATAATTGTAATTTGGTTTATTTTTATTTTGTAATTCTTTTAAATAGTGCTGTTATATGATTTTTTTATTCTTAAGCTAGAACTCCATTACAGGGAGGCAGTTTAATAGAGGAAAACTGTACTTTGAATTGTGTCAGTTCCCTTGCTGACCTGTAATCTCTACCGAAACTTCTCATCTGACAGCAAGGACATTAAGGGCCCTGGTCTAGTCCTCAGGACCATTTGCAGACCTCAGAGTGCATAGAAATGTAGGATGAGCTAGATGCGCTGATGCATGCCTATAATCCCAGCACTTGGAGGCTGAGGCAGGAGGATTATTTTGAGTTAAAGGCCAGACTGCTTTGTAGTGAGTTTCGCAAACTGAAGTATATACTGAGACCTTGTCTCACAAAAAACTAGATTGGTTTTTTTTGTTTTTTTTTTTTTTATGTATTTAGTACAGGGTATATAGGGTCTCAGTACATAGATTGGACTTGTGGTGATCCTCCTGTTTTCAGCCTCTCAAGTGCCCAGTCTCAATCATGGTCTCAGGGTGCTCCAGGGGCAGGGCTGGCATGACAGACCGGGGATCGAACCTGGGCCCCTGCCTCTACCTCAACAGGCACTTTAGTCCACTGAGCTATCTGGCCGACCTCTAGGTTATTATTCTTATGTGGGGAGATAGTGACTTCTTGTCCTTTTTAAGCAAAGAAGCTATGTCTGAACCCATCACTTGATTCCTCCTATATGTTTTAAAGGAAAGGATTTCACTGATAGGCAGGAGAAATTTTATTTTAAGACAAGGATGGTTAGCACTCAGGCTCAGGCAAGAGGGAGCATCACTGCAAGTTTGAGGCCAGCCTGGGGTAAATTCAAGGCCAGATTGAACTGCATGGTGAAACCCTGTCTCAAGTGCGTGCACACACACACACACACACACACACACACACACGAAAACCCAGCTTTCATTTGTGAGTCTGTAGGAATGTAAACAGAAATGTTTGGAATTTACTAAAGGATAAGATTGTATGTAGTAAATGAGGAACATTTATAGTAAAATACAAATACTCCAGTAATATAAGAGTGGCACATTTAATTTAGAGTTCCCTAAGGGAATATGACAGGAGCAAAAGGAGAGCACACGGCGCTGCCCCAACTCCCAGGAGCCGCAGCTTGCTGGCAGGCTTGGCTCTGCACTGCCCTCAGAGCTGTCCCGTCTAGAGAACAGTGACCCGTGCTCCCTGCCCCACAGTGTCCCGTCCTTCAGTGTTTTTGCTTTCCTTCCAGTCGCTTACTTTAATTTAAGGCTGTGTTTTAAAAGACATTAGAGATATTTAAACTGCTTTTATCTCTGAAATGTTAAGGACTCGCTTAATTGACCCTGTCTCTAGAATAACTGAGTAAGGAACCTTTGTATATTTTGTCTGGACCTTGTTACTATGTTTGTTCACTGGACAGTGTGTTTACTGTGATACACTCTGTAATGTCTTCTTTCAAATGTTATCCTTAGGGGGATTTTCCGTAATGTCCAGCAGAGTGCTAAGTGTACTGTAGATATTCAGGCAGTACTTAAGATTAAGTAAAAAGGATGGGAAATGAGGGACATCATAGTATTATTTTTTTCATTATTGCTTGTACAATGGTTTTTTGGAGGTAGGCACAAAAGTATATTATAAAAGTAATACAGATACAGATTAACCTTCACCATGAGGCCTGATCGATCTTTAGTGATTGATTTTTTTCTTAACCTATTTTCAGATTTCTCCTCTAAGAACAAGCAGTTGTACTGGGAAGTACATGTATTGAACTGTTCCATTATAAATATAATTTAAATGAATTGTTAAAGTCATGTGGTTTCTATTTAAACATCCTATTATATTGGCAGTGTGATCTCAGGAATCTATACTCTCCTCCACAGCAGTCATCATTTTTCATGACAGAGGACAGAGGAAGCATAGACTGTATTTCCACAGAAGAGTTTTCTTACAATGTCTTATACCCAGTAGGTGCTCAGTGACTTTTTCTTGGTGGTCCTGGAGATACAATGCAGTGTTCTACACTGAACTATTCTCTCAGCCCTTCCTAGTTTGACAGAGTCTGAGTGACTAAGTTGCCCAGGCTTGGTTGGCACTTGTGTTTTGTTTTTGATCCTCCTGCCTCAGCCTCCCAGGGTGCTTGGTAACAGACCTGCGCCACCATGCCCAAGCACTTCGTTGAATGAATAGATAATGTGCCTAAGCTTTGCTGCCATAGATGCAGTATGTTCTAAAGGCTAGAATTTTAATGTAGAGGGTACCGGGCATAAAACCCACTAGATTAAGAATCACAACATGTTCAGTTAAATTCTACCTGCAGTTTTGTAAGTTTGAACAAACCATCAGCTTTAGTTTTTACAAATATAAAGTGAAAGAATTGAACGAGAATAATCAGATGGTCTCTTGAGGTTTTTCTTCTCAGCTGTAGCATAAGCTTAGCATCTGGCCTTTACCTAACCTTTGCACCCTTGTGGCTCTCTTTGCCCCTTTACAGTGCCTACCAGTGGCCCCAGGGCCCGGCGGGAGTGCTCTTTAGCACACCTACGCTGTCTGCTCCTACTACTTGAGTCATTGCCTTCTGAAATTCAGTTGTGTTTATCCAAAATCTGTTTATAGTGGGTTTCTTTTTAGTGTATTTATGTTATTTAAATGTTACATTAGCCATTGAAATCAGAGTACAAAAATAGTTGTTTTATGAGGACTACGTTTTGAAAAACTAAAACCAAATAATTTAACTGAAGGATGACTTTCCAGAAAATATATATATATATTGTCAGACTAGATAATAATTTAGGCAGAGCCAGGCATGGTGGTGCATACCTATAATCCTAGCACTCTGGGAGGCTGAGGCAGGAGGATCAAAGGTCTGAGCCCAGGCTGAGCAATTTAGTGATTAATCCAGACCTGGTCTCAAAATAAAACAAGCAGGCTGGGGATGTAGCTCAGTATGAAGAGCTTGAGTACAATCCCAATGGAGAAGGGATACAGATGAGGTAAAGAAAAGGTGTGGGGGGGGTGCTAAAAATATATGAAAAACCTGGACATGGTGGGGCACACCTGTAATCCCAGCACTCAGGAGGCTGAGGCAGGAGGATTGTCATGAGTTGGTAGCTATATGGTAAGTTCATGGCCATCCTGAACTATGTAGCAAAATCCTGTCTCAAAAAAGAAAACAAACAAAAATCTATGAAATCCTGAACCACTGTTCTTTCTTTTCAGTCTTTCATCACTTTAAATGAATTGCAACTGAAAATTAGAGACAGTACGATAGTGCCTAAGTCTATATAGAAGACCCGTAATCAAGGAAAAGGCCCTGCTATTAAGAAGTACCCAAAGAGCATGCTTTAGATACCTTGTGGTGAAAGTAAAAGGACATCCAGAGGCTGGGAGTATAGCTCAGTGGTGGAGCACTTGCCTAGCACGTGCGAGGCCCTGGGCTCAACTGCAGCATCACAAAAATAAAAAATAGATGAGTGTGGTGACACACACCTGCAATCCCAGCCTGTAGGTTATGAGTTTAAGGCTGCCTGTGTTGCAGAGTAAGACCGTGCCCAAAAACCAAAGAAACGTTTTTGATGTTTCACTTGAAAAAAATCATGTTTGGCTAGGGCCCATCAGGTGAAGTGGGCTTCTGCTGGGTGTGATCTTCATCCCATGATAGGTCCTATTAAAAATAACATGGTAGTGACCTAACTGTGGGTCATAACAGTGCTTTTTAATTTGCGTGCATTCACCTTGCCTAAGATCTATATAAAATACCTCATTATAGTTCATGTTCAAACTAAATTTTTTCTTTGTTTTCTTCACAGAACATTCAGAAGATTCTTGGCCTTGCCCCTTCACGAGCCGCCACCAAGCAGGCCGGTGGATTTCTTGGCCCTCCACCTCCTTCTGGAAAGTTCTCTTGAATTTAAGCAGAGCCTGTTAATTCCTGTTATTCTTTTTAGACACGCATGTCAGACTGGCAACTTTTATAGCAAGAACTGTAGGCCCCCATCTTGCTTTGAATTGGTTCTCAGCTTTTTTAATGTGATGAGGTGCCTAACAGTAGTTAGTGCTGTTGGCCACAGGTAATTTTTTTTTTTTTATTACTACCCTGATTACTTAAGTTCAGGTGATCTTTATGTAATGAAAAACAGATATCTTTCTTGCTTTGCTTGCGTAAACATTGTCTGTGGGAGAACTCACAGCTGTGTGTGTGCCATCTACCATGGAAGCTGACTAAAAGCTCGAAGAAAAATTCAGTCTGTGTATCTAAACGTAATTGGAATTATTTGTTGTGTTTTTAATGCCAAATCACCTAAGATCAATAAAGAAGCCAGATTTTTTAGCTATTTTGTCTATAAGGAGATCTGTTTGTTTTGCATATTTTTAGATGAGATTTTGGTAATCTGAACATTAGGCTAAGAATTGGCCAATGCAAGTTGAAAGCTTTTGAAGTACTGATTTACTGTACTTGCCTCACACACAGAATATAGGCTGTCCTGCTGGGGGACCTGGGAAGGGAGGCTGGAAAAGAAAAT